TGTATTGACTGAAATAGCCAATCAGCGCTGCACTTAATTCATCTCTTAGCCATTACCATCCAATCCGAAGCCAACTGGCCAGCCTGTCGCGCATGCGCACACGAGTCGAACCTCAATACAAGGTTCGTCGAACTTTCCACTAAAAGTTCGAAAAAGTCGAACCTGGTCGAACTCGAACCGCGACCGGTTCGCGACACCCCTAATTGTCAGACACTGCTAGCGCGAGCACGGCGTCGGCGGTTTGCAGCAGGGGGGATATAGTACTTGCCAAACGAACAAGGGATCTGGAAACCCAAGAGAGACGGCAAGAACTATGTAGTAACGCTGGATCAGTAATTCCCTGTGCATGTAGACAATTAAAATAAATTGAAGGCCACGTAACATAGTCCGATTTGCAATGTTAAAGGGCAAGTCCGGTTTCATACTTTCGATTTTGGGATTATGACTGTTTTTAGTGCAGTCAGCGTCCCTGAATCGCAAGGTGCAATTTTTTTCTCGTTATTGTGCGTAGTTTTGTTTGGAGCGAGGCCAACAAAACCGAAACTGCCACTCGAGGCCCCGGCAACACTGGAAATCACCCGCTATGTGAAGGTGACGTCAGGATCGTTCTCGTTCAACGAGTATGCAGGCCAAGCGGCACCTACCTCTGTTGCGCTAGGCGTCTAAAGATAGGAGGTAAGCTGATTTTGTTTTAATTTTGTATGCGTGGTAGTTACCCAGCATATGTAGCAAGAGTTAGTACGTATACCGAAAAGCTAGCGACTGGAAAACACGTGAACTCGTACAGTGCCTAACTCGGCGGCCGCCGAGTTAGGCACTGTACGAGTGAACACGATCGGTGCCGTACTTGGCGGCTGTCACTGTGTGTGCGGTCTTCCAAACTCGTCGCTAGGCCTAAATTGCCATCGGGGCTCCGTGAATGGAGCGACGTTGCTCTACGCCACGCTGCCAGTAACGTGCAGTACAGGGGTCCCTCTCGCTTTCGCGCTGCGGGTCAGTTCCAGACACGAAGCTTTGAGGTTCTCCGGCGCGGGCCGCGGCGCCCGAACAAACGTGTGCCGGGATGTACACGTCTGCTTTTTCGTTCTTTTTTCCTCGGGCGCGTAAAAGCCAAAGTCCACTCGTCGAACACCGTTCACCCACACCTTTTCGAATTTCCGGTCCGTCGGACACTTGTGAAAAAGCACCTCTGTGTTGCGCAGCGGGTTGTTTGAGCAGCCCACAGTGCTACAAGTTGCACTCGGCATCTTTCGAGGAACAGCTGCAGCAGTCTTGGGCGCACCGAGTTGCTCGCTAAAACGAGTCTTGGAGTCCTCACAAGCAAAGAAACAAAAGGCTATACCGAAGCTACACGAGCTACAGGTAAAAGCAACGGCTAAGCACACTAATCATAAGCCGAAGTAGCGGTGGTAGCGGCTCAAAGAAGCACACTCTGCGGAACGCCCGGACTGGAGGAAAAAAAGAGAACGATACTAACGTCACGGGCCAATGTTGCTTTAGCGATAGGCAACCCGCTGACCGCCCGCTAAGAAGCAGCAGCTCGCGGCGGGTCGCATTTTTATTATCGGCATTAGTTGAGGATGCCAGTAATTTATTTCATTTTGAGTTTTGGCCGTAGTTGCCCTTTAACTACCGCTTCACCCTTTCTCCTCACGAATAAGCGCGAAGATGCTGGTTCTGCGCTCAAAACATTACTCGCACGCTCGAAACCTTCGAAAATACGGAGACGCCAGAAAATAAGTGCCTGATAGAAATTGCGCGGCATAGGAAATGATAAAAAGCAACACTTTTCGTAACCCATATTACGTTTTGAATGTTTTTAACCGCTCATAAAAATGCATAATCATGAATCCCGACTTTTGGAACATTTTCATATAGTGACGAAATCCGATTTTACGAATTTCCCGATTTAACAAACAAATTGGGATTTCCTGCGCAGCCAATGCGCGAGGTCTACCTTCCTCGATTTCACGAAGTTCCCGATTTAATGAAATAATTAGTGGGTCCCAGTGACTTCGTTAAATCGAGGTTCAACTGTATCAGTGCCGCCAAAATACCGTTGGCAAACCTTGAATACGCTGTACATTCCTTTTTTTATTTTGCTCAGAATCGTCGCTCGTTTTCACATAGGAATGCACAGGAGCGCTGTAAAAGTAGACTGGTTGCTTAAAAAACAAATACCTCCGACTTGTATAACAATACCAACAATTTATCAGACGTTTCGTCTCCTATTCGCGACTCCAGCGACCTATAGGGGGCGCCACCACCAAACAGACATGGCGGCTGAGTCCAGGTCATAGAGATCATACATACTAACTCTAGAGGAAAAGGTCCGCCATTTTCCCATACATTCAGGCTGCCGCAAGCGGCGGATCATGCAGGCAGACCCTCGGGGTCCCAAACACGGTTACATCATCAGAGCAGTTTCGTGAACTTCAACAATCCACGAACTTACCGGTGGAAAGATATTCCCGTTCCTTTCGAAGCTTTCTTTTTGCATAGCGCGCAGATGTACGGCCTCGCGTTAACGCCAAACTAAACCATACACCCGGCTTCGCCGATGCGGCGCGGGTGGGCGCGGTTGAGGAATACGAAACTGCGCAACCACCAGATTTCCGAGATTTCGACAGAAGGGAAGTTAATGCAGCGTAATGACTTTATTGCTTTTTATAAGCGTTAGAATAGCTCAGAATTTAGTTTACAACGTTAAATTATCACTGTTTATATTGCTGGGAGTTTTCACTCTTCGCGTTTACCATGGCAACGTTGCTTTCTTTCTCTCGTGTTCTGTCGCTCTCTTTTGCGATCGTTCACTCGGGACCCCGGGTGTCGGCGCACGGGATTTGCCACTCCTCCTCACCCACCTTTACCCCCCTGGTCCAGGTCGCGGCGGCTCGGCCGGGCCGCCTGAACAGGTGGCGCGTTCAACTTAACAGATTTTCTTTTGTTTAATGCCAATTTTATAGGCATTTGAACTGAGACGGTTAAGTGTAGCCGGTGCAGATAAACTTGCAAAGCATAGTTTTGTTTTGCCAGTGTTTTTTTGTTCTTTTCGTGTCAAATTTTCGTTTCGGAGATTTCGTTCAAAACCGAAACTATGGGCTTCGGAGAGACGGTAATATACTAATCAATTTTGATCATCTAAGGAAAGCGGCGATGACTATAGAATTGTTCCACATAGAGTAACTTTTCAGCTAACTTGCATGCCTCGACCATGTGACTTATCTGTCTGCGAAATCGGGCTTTTGTGCGTATCCGCGTTTAAGAAACAGCTTCAGTCGTCTGCTCGGCCAACAACACAGGCTGCAGGAAAATTACGAATATTAAGCAACCGCTTCTTGAGCCAAGGACCATGTTAACCCGCCGGCGCCCCACTAAGCAGCTGATACTCGTATTTCAATTCAGGTTTTAGTAGCAATCGAGAAGTCCTTTGACGAGCGGGTTATGTATTATATTACGTATTATGCCCCACTAAAGCGATATTAGAATATCCTTCGGGTTGAAATATGAGCTTAGTTGACTAGCTATTAGGTGAGCTGCTGAATAAAAGTATATTTGACAGACGGAGACATACTACTTAAACTTAGCCAAATGGTTCTATAGCCGGCAGCACGGAGACAAACTGAAGAGAGTCTTCATTGAAGATCCACGCAGAACCTCCCTGCATCGAACTTTGCTTCGAATCCTGAACGAATAAAATTAGTATTTTTTTTTTGTGGCCGGTCAACCTGACCAAAGTAGACGTATATTGCTGCTGGCTTCGACGTCCTCGTAATATAAATATTGAAGGCGCGATAGGTCAAAATGCCGTGACAGCATCTAACGTTGCGAGACTTGTCTCCCACCTTTTGAAAACAGATAATTTCCCTCATTCATCATTTGCAGCGAGCAAGTTTTCCTGAATCAAGTAATTGCGAAATCAGCCCAACTCCTTCAGTGTGGTCCAGAGGCTTTTTCGGCGAAAAGCAGCCAAGATGAATAGCCAACTCACCGACCGGCGTGGGTGGCTCAAACTTGAAGCTAACCGAACACAACAAAACTCAAGAAAAGCAGCTATCGAACCTTCCCATTCACTTGACTGCAACATCGATGTTCCCTCCAGTATCAGTTACCAAGCAGTCGTCACTTTGAATGTGATTCGAGACAGACAAGAAATCAAAAAGTTTTTCCGTGATTCCTCCCCATCCAAGAAATCGAAAGCACGCGACCGTGTGCTGTGGAGTAAACGGGCTTTCAAACACGTAATAGAAGAAAACATTCTACTGAGGCTTCACCACACTAATGATCACTCAGGCAAACTTAAGAAATATTCGGACCTTCGTCAAATTACATTGTTCGCCACCGCGCCGACCCTCCGCGAAAGCCACCAGAGACGCGGATGGGCGCGGAGGGACCTGGACTGGCTGGTTCCCGGTTTTCCCGCTTGGCGGCGTCCGTTTTGCTGGAGTCGCGAATACGGGAGACATCATCAGTGCAGCCTGGGAACACTCGACTAGCTACCAGCAATCCAACGCTTCTTCTTCCTTCTCTTCATCCGTAGCGCTGGTTCTGCCAACTTCTTCGTCCATGGCATACGGGAGACATTATCATCGTCTGCACTCGCTTCAACTTCTTTTACATCTGTCATGGATGGGAAGTTAAATGAAAAGTTATTTTAGGATGTCGGTGTATACGTCGGGCCGCGGTTAGAATTGCAGGCGGATGGGTCACTGTGAATACACCATAATTCCAGAAATCTTCTGGGGACGAAACGTCTGATAAATTGTTGGTATTGTTATACAAGTCGGAGGTATTTGTTTTTTTAATCATGAATCCCGACTTTTGGAACGTTTTTGCATAGACTGGTTGCTCCCTGCTTCAATTTACATCCCGAAAGTCGCACAGACACTAGCGCCACTCGAATCTCAAGTGTATGGCCACACAAGGTGGAGACACTAACCAACCGGCAACAAGCAAGCACAAGCATGCAATGCAGAGCGAAATCAAAGAGACACGACGACTCCCGAGTCAGTCTTTATCGAGCCGCACCATTTGCCAGGTCACGCCCTGGTTCTTGTCCAGTTTGGGAAACTCAGCCGCGCACACGGCGCACGTGGTCCACGCCAGTTTCACCCGCGGAACATAGTTCTCGAAGAAGAGCCGCACGTCGTAACTGTCCGTCGCCAGGTGGCGGAGTGCCGGCAGCCGGAGCGACAGCGCCCGGAGGTCCGCGACGCTCGCTCCGAGCTCCTTCAGCGTCAGGTAGGTCCCGAAGTGAAGCCGCTCCAGCTCGGGAAACGTCGTCGTCGAAACGCCCGGGTCGAGAAACATCCCACACGCCCCGTCTGACCGGAGCTCTAACCGCTTCAGGTGCCGGCACGCCGACAGGAGGCCACGGAACGTCGGCGTCGAGACGGACCGCCCGACGCGGAACGACTCCAACTTGGGGAACCAGTCCGCGGATGCCTCCTCTTCGCTCACGTTGCACGTGATGAGGGAGAGGGCGCGCAGGTTCCGGCAGTACTTTGCAACGTATGACAGCGGGACGTCGTCGAAGTTCTTCAACGAGAGTTCATCGAGATTGAACTTCCGCACGAGCCTGGCGGCGTGTGGCGCGAACGGGCAGAGCGAACCGTCGGCCGCGAACATGAGGGAGAGCCGCCGGAGGTTGGAGAAGTCCGTCACGCTCGCGAGCGCGTCCGTGCACGTTGTGTTGATCCACAGGTGGCGCAGGTTGGGGTAGGTGCGGGCGGCGCGTGCGACGCACCGCGCGCTGCCGTCCTCGACGACGAAGGTGGACTCGTCGAGGCGCTCCAAGTGGCAGCCGAGGATGAGCTGCGGGCTGGAGCAGATCATCGGGGCCGGGACCGGGAAGCCGCAGAAGGCAGACGCATCTGTCATGATGACCGCCTCGTTCATCGGGGAGTGGACTTCAGTCAGCTGCGGGGCGGAAAGAAATGGAAATCGTAAGGGGTTCTGGCCGAGCTGTCGCGTGGCTTGCGATGCACTTGCCCTTTTTATGCGGAAATACTAGTCCCGAGACTGCTGCAGTCTAGAAGAATACCGTATTTACTTGCGTAATGAACGCACTCGTGTAATGCGTCCCCGTTGACAGTTGTCGCCATCCAAAATTTCTTTTCCTCATACATGATGAACGGACATCCTAGTTTCGGCATTGCGAGACTTAAACCAACGTTCTTGAATCTGTCGGTTGACAAGCTCCGCGGAAGAGCCTAGTTTGAAAACAATTCTTCTCTGCAGCCTGCATGTCAATAGGTGCGGGCAGATGGCGTTCCTAGAGCCACCTGCGGCACAGCTTCCACGGGCAATGGAGGAGGATTAGTTTTCAAAGATACTCTTTTTGTGCAAACTTCGGCACGAAATTTATGTTTATTGTAAAAACCACAATCTAATCACTTTTTATCGCAGGCAACATGTATTTGACATTCTACAGGTTCCACCGCATCCATCCATAGGGTGGGCTGATTGCGTAGCGGGCACTACGAAAGGCCGCCAGAAATTCTGGGTAGTTCGTCAACTGACTTTGATCTAGCAACATTGCCTTAAACTGCTTTTAACCCAGCCAGCAACCAAGTGTATCAATCCGTCAAGTGGCCAGGCCAAGTGAAGCCAAGCCAAGCATGGCAGCATGCACGCACAACGCAGCTGCAAGCAAGAAGTTGTGGGAGCAATCGACGGTGTAACTGCGCGGCGCACACGGCCAACAAAGCTGGGGCCGAGGAGTTGCCTAGCCCTCGGAGACGTTTCGTCCAGCGGATACATTAGTGTCAACAAACACTCTGCAGTCCACCTTCACACAGTGAAATTGCAATAAATGGTTAGGCCTAAACTATTGTATCGTTCTTGTGTGGGCTGGTAAGAATAGACAACTCGGGTATCAGGATAACAATGCTTTGGTTTATTCCGTGTTGTTACTTATATAGCCAAAGGTGGAAAGGGGTTAGTGTAGTAGAGGGCAAGGGAAAGGCACGTGGCAATGGAGCATCCAGATAGCTTGTCCGCCTTGATCTGATACGATACATCCTCCTTCCCAACGGTCGTTCACCGCTGAGCTCAACACCTCTGGCTCGTTTGCTGGAAGCGCTCGTCATAACCCAATCGCTCCGGAGGCCGCTTCTGTCGTGTTGTCCTTCGCGGTGGCTGAACCGTTGGCTGCTGAGCTGCCGCTTGTAGAGTCGTCGTAGTTGCCGTTTGTAGAGCCGTCGTGATGGTTGGCGCTGTGGATGTCATTCCGTGTGATCTGATACGATACAACTATGTTTCAAGATAACTTAACAAGCTGTGTAGCCAAAGAACCGACTGTCGCTGGCCAAGAATCGTCTGCTGCGAAAACAACCGAGCTCTTTGGGAACAGTTCATGAGACAACATTACACTCGATTTCTCTGCGAATCTGTGACGGGTGCTAATGCCAGGGCGATGAAGGGGCCGTGCAACGATATTCGCTTGGAATGTTTTTCACTTTACACAAGCTTATTGGCACTAGTGGGACCCCAGTATACTCGCCGCTCACCAAGGAACTCTTTTGTTGCGGTGTAATTTCAAGGACAAAAGCGAGCGTTTTCAATTAATCTCTCCTTCGCAACACTTGATGATGTAGCTGGGGGTCGCAGTACCCCCAGTGATGATATCTGAAAGTGGTTCATAGATTGGACTGAAGCATTGCCCGAGCGCTCGATTTGGACTCCTCATAATCAATAGCTCGAAAAGCATTTAAGCGTGGCCCGTGTCCAGTCGCTGCAATGACGACAATAGCCGAACCATAACAATGTCTGGATACCGGCACGTGTCATGTACTTTGTCAACCCCATCACGTGGCAATGATTAACAGTGGTGGCATATAATTGGCTCCAGATTACATGGCCGCTTGTTCTGGCTGCGAGTTGAGGGAATGAACACTGCTCATTCTTTAATTTTTTTCTGCAACTCCTATTGCGTGTGGTGATAAACGGATGAGTCTTTCATAAGTCACTAACGTCGGGGATTCGGTCCGAGCGGTATTTGCGCAAAGTGCAGAAATGGTTACATTGCCCCCTTAAAAAAAACACTTTAAAGAAAAAAAGTTTTTTTTTTTTGTGCAGTGTAGTTGGGACACATGTGTGAAAAAATGAATTTTAAGCGAATTTTTTTTTAGGGCAATATTGATTGTGCGAGCATGCCAGATTTATTTTAGCTGCGTCTGAATTGTGCGCACGAAGTCCATGATGTCACAGAATGGTCTTGCACACTTTCCACCTCAACAAGATGGTCATACGTGATGGCCACAGCTTCGTACATCTCCTCCATGTGCCCGAAATGCTGAGAGAGAAAAGTGGAAAGGAAATGACGGAGGTGACTACCAACTACATTGTGTCTCGTGCCGTCAATATTGCTTTACATGCATGCAAAATTCATTTTTTGGCACGCGTGTTCTTAACCAGGCTCAACCAGACTTTAAAAAGAATTTTTTTTTAATTTTCAGTGGCGCTTTAAGTGGAAGCGGTGGATTAAGTGGCTGCAATCGCCAATGGCTGCGGTGCTAGAAGGAGAAAAAGATTGGAACCGGATACGGATGTGGCGTCACTTTTGGTTTAAAAATAAGGGACCTTTTTCCAGTAAGCTTCTGGGCATGCGTGCACCACACCACTTCCCCTGGCCTTGCTTACCGCCGTCGCCATTCCTGCGGTGCAAAGTTCCGGTTGACCAACATGATTCGGCACTTGTCTCTTTGCATATTTAGTCTTTCTTGGCCATTCTTGTTTGAGTAATTGTATCTACTCGCATAATGAAAGCACCCCCCACAACAGGCATCAATATTTGGACTTCTTTTTCTTGTGTAATGAATGCACTTCCAATTTTTGGCTCTGCGAGTCTTGAACTGCGCCCAACTAAGCCAGCCGGCTAGCCACCAAGCTAATTTTCTTTTGCCACCAAGCGGACAGGCGAAGTCAAGCCAAGCTAAGTCGCTCTTGTAATGGCTGCAATTGTGTGGTTGCGGAAGTGGTCAACCGTGAGACCGATCGGTGCGCATGCCTAGCGAAGCTGGGGTTGAGGAATTGGCCAGGCCCCGACGTGCTTCGTTTATCGGATGCATTGATGTCAACAAACACGCCGTTGTCTGTGATCCGCTTTCAAACAGTAATGTCATGAAAGCGGTTAGGCCTAAGAACAGGGTGTGGAACTGGTCATTATTTCGGTTCAATTCAGTAGCATCGTATTTTGTTCCGGTTCGATTCCGGTTTAGAGTAGCGCACATAATATCATTCCAGTTATCGATTTTAGTAAGTGCGAACCGATTCGAACTGGTTCCTCACTCCATCTTCAAATATTGACCGAGCACTTCCAGCAGCCTTTTCTGAGCAAGAGATACTTGCAATAGACCAATCCCAAAACTACTCCCTCTTTAGGCAGATCTGAAAGCCCAGCACACTGACGTGCGCAAAAGACATAATTAATTTGCCAAGGCTATTACTTGCAATATACTGTTCTTAAAGGGCAACTCCGCTCAATTCCAAAGATTTCGGGATAATGATTGATTTCAAATTAAAAAGCCCTAGTAAAACACACTACGTCGTTTGCTTCGCGAAAAATGGGATATATATTTTTAAATCTAATATTAAACACTAGCGGAAACCGAAACTTCGGCTCCGCCCGGCAACATTGGCCTCGGGTCGCCAAGTACATGGCCATCACGTGGTACGAGATGTCACGTGATCCTCGGCCCAACGATGGGCGGGATTGGGGCGGGCATGTGGCAGGCACGAGTGTCGTCTGCACCGCACTCTTCGCCACGTTTTGGTGTCTACGGCATTTGACGACGTCTGTACAACTGCGGCATAAGTCTGCGCACATGGTGTCCGTAGTGTGGACGAAACTCCGAGAGACAATAATCACAATCGGTAAGACGACGACGGCAATTGTGACGCGGAAGACGGCGGTAACGGCGGGCGGCCGGACGGCTCCCAGAAACGCGCTGCGCAGGCGCGTTACACCGATCACGTGGACACCGCTGAGCACTGAGAGGCAACGTTGCTGACGTCATGCGCTACGCTCGCTTGGAGAAGTGAAAACAAGCAAAAGGGGGCCATGATAATGACGTTTAGCTCAATGTTGGCTCCGCCCATGCCGTAGCCTTGACTGCGCTGTTGGTTGCGCCTGAATTCGCCCGCTCAAATCAGTTGATTTCGGCAACTTGGCAAGTTGCAAAGTTTGCGGGATCGTTTAAGAAACAATTAGACAGAACTGCGTCGTAACGTTTCACGTGTGGTCTTCCTAGGCGGTACTAAAGAGGACTGCATTGTTTTTCAAAACCAAAAATGAAGCGGAGTTGCCTTTTAAGGGGGGACACTGGCTAGAGGTTGAACTTCTGAACTGCTCAGGTGAACGGAATGAAATTTGCAGGGGAGATTTAACTTCAGATGTAGGTGTACTGTATAAACTTTCAGCTCTCCAGGACAAATTTACATACCTTCATAAGATGATATGTCACTCTTCATTAGGAAATCTATGATATGCAAATGAAGCTTAAGCATCATTTTAACTGCTTGAATATCAAGTGGGGATGTGGGACTTCGGGCTACCTAGTTTTTATAAATCATATGTAAATACTTGACTTGCCTCAAAATATGAGATGCATATTTGTCCTATGTCAATTTTTAAAAACATAGCTTTTTTTCATTGTACTTGACTTGCCTCAAAATATGAGATGCATATTTGTCCTATGTCAATTTTTGAAAACATAGCGTTTTTTCAATGAGGACTTTAATTTAAAACAATATAAAGTAGATAACCCGATTCCCCAAAAAACTTCAGTTCTGAAGCATCTTGATTGTGGCATCAAAATAATTTCACCTTCGAACAAAAGATTCCTCCGTATAAAATTTGCAGAAAAAAGCGGAACTGAGAAAAAAGCAATCAAACATTGCACTCCTTTACTTTGTTACTGCCTCACAATGTGTTGAAAATATTTTATATCAAGGTAACTATCTGGTGCATGGTTATGAAATTTAGTCGAAGGGTGTATAATTAATTTCTAAAACTGAAAACCTCAAAATTGAAAAATGAATTTTTTCAAAAAATTTTGAAACTTAGGCTATTCGGAGCGTCCAGGTGCGGAAACTTCTTTGTGCACCGCGCATCGGACCGCCGCACAGGACGGTGGGAGGGGACGGTGGGGAGCGGTGGCTCACCCAGGGGCAGCTTGCGAGCAGGCTGGCGATGGTGATGGGACAGATGAAGAGGTGGTCCACCCCCAGGCCCGGCGTGGAGCCCACCAGGGTGGTCAGGCTGGACGACTTCTCCGAGAAGCGCTCGTTGGGCTCCGACTGCAGCCGCAGGTCATGCCAGAGCACCAGCACGCTCACGCTTGGGAACCGCGTCACCAGGTCCATGACCAGGTCGCGGTTGTGCACGATCGTTAGGGTCTTTGCGTGCTGTCCAGACAAGGGCCAGGGGGTAAGATATAGACCCTTCTCCTTCGCTCTCGTCCACAGCCACCTAATACGCATATCCGGCATGGGCGACAATAAAACATCATCAAACGTCTCAATCCGTAAATTGTAGAAAAAGGGAGCGGAGGTAAAACGAGAATGTGAAGACGGTTACACTTGTATCCTGAATGTCTTTCATTGGCACGGCGACGGCAAAACAATGTATTCGCCCGCACATGAAGCGACGAGATTCAAGATGGCGTGAAAAAGGTCTATAGGCCAACTCGACTCTTTGAATTGCCTCGAGCGAATCTCGTCCCTGCTTGACGCGGTGCCCACACCACGTGGCTTGTTTGTAAACAGTGTGTTCGTCGATGGAATAGGTGTGGACACCGGGCATGTTGCGGCTGCCAGAAATAGTTGTCTCCTTGTCTTGGCTGCTCGTTCGTAAAGTTGTTTTCTGGGTGTGCCACGTCGCGTAGAACTTGGCATTTGCGCTACATGCGTGTCGCTTAGACAATGCTTTGTCGTCAACTCTAGTTTTGCACCTCGACGGCGCCAGTAACAGTTTTGTGAACGCATTAAAGCGCAGAGATCTCCGGCGCAGTATTTGAGCTAACGTTCGTCAAGGTCGGAGCAAACGTTTCAATCAGAAAGTGTGCATGCCATAAAAATGAGACTGCATTTCTTTTTTTTTTATTGATTGCATTGCTTGGATGCCAGATGATGATATGCTGAACATCCTCGCCTATATGTATGTTCCACCATGGCCGGAGGTGAGGTCACGGGCAGCGGGTCATGCCGCAGCTACGATGCCCGAAATGTGTCTCCGATTGCCGCGATTATTGCCCGACGACGTCGCAAAAGTGGCACGTCGTTGCCCATCGAGGTCCCGGCCGCAATGGACGCAGCAAGCACCCGTTCTGCCGCGGGTCACTCTGCGGCCAGCCAGTCCACAGAAACTGAAGCGGAAGCGACGGCGAAACCTCGCGTCTGCTTTCCTTTTCCGGCCGCGTTTCTTTGACCAACCGGCGGGATTGCGACGTCTGACGGTGGGACGTGCCGGCTCCTGTAACGCGATTGGTCGCCACTGTGGGACCACTTCGACGAACGGGCAGAATGGGAAGGTGGACGCGTCTCGGACTCACCCGTTCCTCTTCGGTTCTTGCAGAACCGAACAGGATTGTACAGACAGACCCGGTCGGGCTGTCTATCAAATTGCAGGCCGTAGGGTACAGTCGTGGACGATGCAAGTTGATACGACCGAGATACGACCAAAAGTATCCAATGATGCTGCTGGGTCCCATTCTGGCGAGCAATAATTTTCTGCTTTGCGTTTATTAAAGGGACTATGAAATTATTATGAAATCGGATTTCATCCACTGCACGTCGTAAAAGGTGTGTAAAGAAAACTAAAACACAAAAATAGAGAGCCAAGAAAATGGTTTTACCATAGAACGTCATCAAAAATGCGGACTCTTTTACATCTTCTTTCCTTCGAAAGCTCTCTGCCATTTCAGTGCGATGCGTCCATGGTGCCAAAGCACATCAGCCAAATCCACGTCGCCTATTGGGTAAGAGCCATCCTCACCAGCACCGCGATCATAAACAATAAATAGCCGGCTAATGTTTAAGTTTTGTTAAAGAATATTCTGATCCACATTTTGTAGCATAATTAGCGATGTGACAGAAATTGCTGAATTTTATAATGCTCGGAGTAATGTGCCATCTATTGTGTACTAAACAAAGCAAGAGAGAGATCAGATTGCGCATGCACATAGCTTCCTATCCGCTGAAAAACATGGCGTCCCCTCCTTTACTTAATAATAAATTAATGAATAAAGCTTGAGCCCATAGAAAACTCTGTCCATTTTCTGCTATGCCAGTGAGTGGCAGCACTTCCCTCCTTTTAAAAGGCACTGCAGGAACAGCAGACGGCGGCAGAGAAGCGACTGTCGTGCTGACGACCTGCTGCGCTTGTTGCAATGGTTGCAGGAGTGTGTATACATGCAGAGAGCAGTGGTTTGGGTCGCTCCGGTCGCTCTGGTAACAAAGGACACAGTCGTAGCTAACACGCTCGTTGCAAGTGCCCGAATTACAGTTTGTGCAGTCTGGAGCTTTACTCTAAAGAAAAATGGCGGCAGTTTCGCCGCTTGCCGCTTGAGGAACCACGTCGAAGCACTTGGTGCAGGCTCATTGGTATGAGGGACCCCAGGTCCAAGGTCATCCGTGCATGCTCAGAACATTTCATACGTTGGAGTCTGATTCCGACGAGGAACTGGAGTCTTTGTCGGAAGACTCGCCGGACTTTCCAACAGGCGTACCGGCGTATGAGACCAGTCCCATGCTGTCGCTGTAGCGCAACATATCTAAATTAATTTCGCTCAGCTGCGATGTATCCATGGCTATCAGAGTGATGACAGGCGCCGATTAAAAAAATATGTCGGTGGCATTGATGCCATCAGCACAGTAAACCCCTGTGGTGAACCCTGCCGGCCCACTGCCAGCCCACCGCTGATGATCCTATTCTCCTATTGTCGAGAGAACTTCCGGTTCCAGTGCCAGTGTATGTCATGTCCATCAACTTTTGCTGCGGCTTGTTTTGCAACGATTCAGAGAGGAAGAAAAACTCAATATTTCATTAAATTTTCGTGTAGAAGTTAAAAAACCGAAACGGAAATATAGATGCCTGTTCAGCGTTCAGTGAAAAAAAGAAATTGGGTTGTGGGTATGTTTATACAGCCTAGAACTTGGTCTGCCTCAATGGGTGACGAGTCACCCAGCTGTAGATGAGAAATATAGCAACCCGTATGGTTTCTGCCATACGGTTATGAAAACCGTATGGTGTCTGCTAAGGGCCGGTTTGCACATACGGCGCGGTGCCGAATCAACACTTTAAAAACAGCAGTGATGTGGCGCTGTGCTAAATGCCGTGCGCTAATACGGCGCAACATGGATGCTGCACGCGGGCTAAGGTCTGCACTATTTTCAGCACGGCCTCAGCACAGAGTTGGCTCTAAGCTTCATGAGCAAACGCGCCTCGAATCAAGAGACTATGTCCCACCTTCAAAATGTCTCTAGCCGCCGAAGAGAAGGCGTTGGACGACGTGAAGGCCTCGCAGCCCGCGAAGAGGGCCGACAGGAACCGCTGCTTGCCGAGGAAGGCCCTGCTTGCCACAAAGGTCTCTTTGTTGAGCGTGACCAGCTGGCAGGAAGCGTCGAGCAGACACCGCTTGGGGAAACGGTGAGGACATGTCGAGGGCTTGTCCAGCTTCAGCACGATCAGGTCCTCTTCTTCCACCAGCCGGTCGGGATCTCCGAGCTCCACTAGCTTGTCCATGCCGCACCTGCAGACGGGAAGGCACAGGTCCCGTTAATGGTGGTCTCGCATCATCATTTCGTCCGTTTGCGGCACGTTTAGTCTGCGCCACAATATTGGCACAGTGCCATCTTCATTCATTAGTATTCCTGCTTTTGACCGAGGACGTATTTTGCCTGCCGCCGTCGAGTCAAATGGATTGTCAGCTCTGGAAGGACCGCACAAGTCGGTTTTGAAATGTATTGCACGACAACTTGGTATGAAAGTACCCTAGCTGGTGCATTTTGTGCATAAAAAACATTTGAAATGGAGCAAAGTTAGTAGGGAAACAAGGTTTCTCTTTTTAAATATGGTCATTTTGGTCATCACATCGAATCGTGCATTTCGCTAGAGCAAAGGTTTCGCAGTATTTGCGATGAAATGTACGTACCATCTATGAAAAATGGTTGCAAGCAAAAATTAAAAATGTATGGAAGTCGCATGTATGGAAAAATGTACGGAAGACTACCCAATTAATATTTTGCCACAGCGTCGCATATTTTTAATAAAGTAAAAAAATGCAACTGCTCGAAACCGAAACCGGACTGGGGAGGAAGAAGAAATATAGAGAGAGAGAGGTGGCAGAAGTCACCTGGCTGTGATACTCTTTTTTCCCAATCAAACTATTTGCAGCTTTTTAGAAGCCACAAAAAATGGTTATCATATTTATTTTCTATTTTTAATATTGCGTGTGTGCCTTCAATGACCCACAACTTTGATTATATCTGATGGTTGTGCCTAAACTATAGAAAATGGTACGTGACCACAGAGAAGGGTCAGCGCGATTCAAATCGGCCAGTTCTCGACCGGTGGTTTTTGGGCGGAAAGAAAACGAATTTCGGGCAACTAACTGTTTTCTGGGAAGTTGGCCTTTCCTATGTCATCTACAAATAAAAACCTTGGCAAGCATTAATACCCTGTCAGTGTCCCTTTAACGTAGCCAGTCGTAAGCAGTCACAAGTGAACGAGCCTTTCATTGTGTTTGTTCTTTGGAATTTTTATACACAAAATGCACCACGTACAGGCACCTCCGTTGTAAATCATGGCATGCTGCTTTAAGAAATCAATTCAAGCAGCCCCCTGACAGGGCCAACAACCTATTTGACTCGAGTGGTATGGACCTCTCATTTCTAGCCCGCGAGTACTGAGAGATATGAATACAGCTGTCAAAGTAAAATGCTGCTCCACAGGCGCATAAACTTTCATGCACGTTGCACTCGCAAATTTTTCCCGAAGGTTTAACTGGGCGTCATTTTTATTGGTATCCAAGCGTGTGAAGACACAGAGACTCAGCAGTTGGTCATGTCAAGGCTTGTTATTTGATCACACCGCCAGACCGAGCAACTTGCATTCGACGAGTTGTTTTTTTTCCTCCGGTGCTGTGCTTTTGGAGAAATTTCCATGGGTTCTCAAATGCTGCTGTGACCTTTTAAACGTGGCTTTCAAGAACTTGTTTTGCGACGACGGCGAACGAGCAAAAAATGTGTCTTTTGGCACGCAGCCACCCAGCCTCTGCGACGCTTGGCCCGGCAAATTTTACGCAGGCCCAAGATGGCCAATTCAAAACTTTCGGTGACCGCACCTGCACTGCAGCAACCAAGTGTGGATGCACGATCCAGCAAATTGTCATAGAGATCAGTGGTCCCACGCTTCACGCCTCGTGTCAGCACCACCATGGTTCCACCTGTAAGCTGGCCGCAGCGTCCAAATGAAATAAATGGAGCTATGGTATACTGGAATGCGGGGTAGTGTTGGGATACGAGTGGCTCGCGCGAGGCATGTGGTGTAGATTGCGATAGGTGTCGACACCGGCGCATTGGTAGTACAGTCGGTATTCGCAACATTCGCGGACTATAGACGCTTTCAGGACGTCAGTTACCCAAGCCACCACCAATCGGTGCACTGCCATTGCCGGTCTGTATTTTGGACTGTGCCTGCACTCCGATCACCTCGGTCTCTCAGTTATGTTCGTTGCAATTTTAAACCAGCCCCTTCCAACCTCACAAGGCTTCTCTGCATCACTCTCGTTCAACCAAAACTGGAATACCCTTCATTTCTCTGGCATCCCCACCAATCTGTTCTCTGTAACACAATCGAAGCCGTCCCAAATCGTGCAGCTCGCTTCATCCTTTCAACTACACTCGTATCTCTAGTGTCACTGCAATTAAATCTCGATTAACCCCCTCTGATCTTTTCTTACGTCGTAAATATGTTAGGCTTTGCTTCCGTCATAAAGTATACCTCTTCATATCTAAAACAGTCTCTCCTCAGCCCTCCCGCCCAAGTTTCTTCAAGACTGGGCCGTTCATGCAGAATCGCCCAACCCAAGACAAAATCCACAGCCTATCAGCATTCACTTCGACCCGAATCTCGTAGACTGGAATGGCCTTCCCGATGACATTGTCACCATCACCGATCACGAGCAAATGACCTTTTTGGTGAACGACGGTCATTTGAGCGAATCAACGTTTTAGCGTGTGACTAGGGTGCGTGTTAACCCACCCGCCCCCTGCGTTCATGTCGCTTTGCGGCGACTATTACAAAAATGTGAAGCCACCTGGCCTGTAAATGTCGCGGTAGAGATGTCGCTGGCCTGTGCTATACTTTCTTTCACTTTAAAGGCGTTATCACACGATAATTAACCACATAGATTATTCTTGAAATGGAATGCTCGTAGGCTACTAGTATATACACCAAGTAACGCAATTTTTAGAGCTCTGGTAATTGCAATAATCAATTTACGAATTTTTATCGTTCTTATCTGGCGACCAAGCAACACTGCCCAAGTTAGTCACACCATGGTGTCCATAAACCACGTGATCGTGAACGCTCTCTCACTCTAGGTGCCCCCATGATCGCCCAAGACCTCCTCGCCGCAGTAGGTCAAAACCTCTCACACAACTCAGCAACCCGAATGCTATTCTCACTCTTGCCGTCGGCCCGTTGACCATCCACCCTGCATGCGCCTGCAAGATATTCCTGGACGACGGTGACCACGGCGAGTTCGTCCGTAACTCGCCGTCGCTGGTCACCAGCAGGTCGCAGTCAAAATTAACAGCTTCCAACATGGGCGTACCAACCGGGGGGGCAAGGGGGGCACTTGCCCCCCCAGTTCTCAGAGTGGGGGGGCAAGGCATGCGTTTTGCCCCCCTGAAACGGCCGCCACTGGGCAGAGCAGACACAGGCCGGCGGCGCCCAAGGAATACCAAGGGCACTGCCCCCCGACCCGCGCGGGCATATTTTTAACGCGCAGGCGATACAAACCCTAGCAACGGTGCTCACGTACGCCGGATTGGCTGGTTCGTAAAGCCTTGCTCCACGAACAAGGCTACACGGTAACCTTACGGAATCCATCCGCGAGACATGGGCCGGACGGGCCGTCCAGACCAGGACGTAGGCCCTTACACAAAATAAAGTTTTGCTTGCTTGCTTGGAGATAGGCGCTGCCGCCGTCAACATAGGCAGCGGATGCAATGCGAGTTTCCGAAGAGGTAGCGTAACTTAGTGGTGAGATGTCTGCCTCATACGTGTCAGACCCGGGTTCTATTTATGGTGTGGGCCGGCTTACTTCTTTTTATTTTTTTTCTCGAACATTTTGTTTTGTCGAGGCATTTGGCGATATTTACATTTCTTTTTTACCATTAACACTAAAAAAACGAATGTTGTTGACGAAACATCGCTAAACTAAATCGTATCGACTCTATTTACGGAAGTGCATGGGGGGGCAGCGGGGCTTGGGTTGCCGACCGGACGCCGCAAAGCGGCGTGTACGGGGGGTGGGGGGGCTAGGTGGGTTAATAGATTTGTAATTAGCAGCCGCACACCGTCACCGCGAAGCGGCGTGAACGCAGGCGCGGGGGTGGGTTAACGCGCTTCGAGTGATACACGAGCAGCCCATCCGGCGTGAGCGTCGTTGTTAGGGGTTCTATCGCCTGCACCGTAAAAGGAGCAGTGTGTGCACCTCCTGTAGTGGGCGAGAATTCCTACATTGGAGAGAAGCGGGGACAAGCCCTTTCTTCAAATGCGTCAAGTCTCCTTGAGCTTCGGAATACAAATAAACGCCACTATTCGGAGCTAATCCCACAGTTACTCGACCTCTCTTGCGTCGTGTCTGTTCGCTCCCCGCGCCTCGTAGCAGTGTTGTTGCAGTGGGGGGGCTCGTTCAAATTTTGGGGTTTTTTGGACTATCTAAATCACTTTCTTCCTTCCCATCCCCCCCTTTTCTACTCCGCATGCAATATCAGCTGACCTTCCGACCTCTGTTCTCTGTTGATAGGCAAAACAACCACTAAAATTAGAAAGTAATTTGTAATTTGAGTGGAAGTCACTCGGAAAAGTAGTTAAAGTAAACTACTGATTACTAGAATAGAAATGTAATTAAAAGTTACTAAACTACCCAGAAAAGTAGTTAAACTACAGTAACTTGAGTAAAGTAGTTGAACTACGTACAAGTCTGGCCTGGCAAGCGCTCTGCATAAGTGTTTTCACTGATCTGCCTAGCCCCGCACACCATCACATGGGCCAAGAAAGGTGTAGTTTTACTGCAGAGGAGAAATCAGCAGGGTCCAAGATGGTGACAATGGAGGATGGGGGACTGTTCCAGTGGCTGATGGCTTGAAAAAGGAATGACCAATTGAAAGCGTTCGTAGAGCCAGAACTGTGTTTGATGGTGCAGACGTTGTTGAGGCGAGAAGATGTTCGGTCGAGGGGTAATAACAAAGTGGTTTTGAGGTCGGGAATGTGGTAGTAGATTTTGTGAATAAGGCACAGCTGAGAGACTTTCCTGCGAAGCTGCAAAGAGGACATGGTTAGTTCAGTTTTTAGCGCCGAGACACTGAAAGAAAAGTCATAAGTGGATGAAATGAAGCGAGCAGCTTTGTTCTGAACTGCCTCTACAGCGTATTGATGAGGTACAGTCGATGGGTATTCCAGATGGTTGAAGCATATTCTATTTTTGGTCTGACGTACGTGTTAAAGGTTAGCTTAGGGACAAAGAGTGGAGCGATTTTTTAAGTTACGTCTGCTTAGTCCAAGAGTTCCAGATGAATTGGCGGTAATGACTTCAATGTGGTTATTCCAGGGAAGGTCAGATGTTAGTCTTACACCAAGGTATTTATACACAGTAGCGGTCTCAATCAGATCGGAGTCCAAGAAGCAATTAAATGACAGAGTGGTTTTTTTCTTGGTGAAGTGGATTAGTTTGCATTTATACTTGTTTGGTGACATAATCCACTCTTTGCACCAATTGTTAATTTTATCTAGATCTTCCTGAAGTTGGTTATTATTTTGCACACAAGTTACTTTGTTATGGATGACGCAGTCGTCGGCGAAAAAGCGTTTTTTTGAAGAAATCCCAATGGGAATGTCATTAATAAATATTAAAAAGAGTAAGGGCCCAAGTACGAACCCCAAGGGAACACCAGGAGATACATTTATTAAGGAAGATTCATGATCATCATGGACGTGACCTGTACACGGGAAAAAAGAAAGTCACGAATCCATGCAAACGGTTATTGGTCGAGGCAAAAAGATGATAGCTTAGAAAGAAGGCGTTGATGGAGGACACGGCCGAACGCTTTGGAAAAAAAAAAAAACAACTGTGTCAGTTTGGACGTGACATTCAAGGTTAGTGTGCAAGTCAGTGAAGTCGCAGAGTTGCGCTTCGCAGGAAAGTACCTTTTGAAAACCGTGCTGCTGTTTAAAGAAAAGAAATGGGATGATAGGTGCCTCATGATATTGGAGTAGAGGATATGCTCAAGTAGTTTGCAAGAAATTGAAGTCAATGAATTAGGGCGATAATTAGATGCGGAAGAGCGGCTGCCCTGTTTAAAGACTGAGAATTACCCTTCCCACCTTTTGGTCAGATGGAAGGCAGCTTTGAGATGAGGACTGAATGAAGATGAGTTTCAAAAACTCAATAGAAATAACACGGGTGTTTCTTTTAAATTTTAGGGTTGATGTTATCGGTTCCAGCGGACGAAGTAAGTTTTAGTTTATCAATCAATGTTTTAATACCAGCGGAGTTAACGTTAATAGAATGCATGCGCTCGTAAAGCTCTTCAGGGAGAGTGGGGACGAAGTCCAAGCACTCGTTAGTAAACACTGATGAAAAGTATTCGTTAAACACAGAACTATCATGCTCGACGTTGCACATCCGACATTCCTAACTCTCCCCATCTTCCTAAACGTCCGTGTGTGTCCTAACACCAGAAACCGGAATTTTAAAGGTTAAAAACGGCACGTTGCGAATATGGAACGCGCACTTTCATGCAAAGCTGACGTCAAGTGATTCAAATAGAAAAACATGCATATTTACAGTATTGTTATCTCTTCTGGTGAAGGCTAAACAACCCTTGCATCCGTTTTCGCGCACGAAACGGTGACTCCCAGAGAAAGTAAGAACGCAGTGATTGTCTTTATTTTAACAATGTAAACACACTTGCAGGCGTGCGCTGATGAAGCCTCAAAATCAAAACTCTCGTAGTGTGATTCGTGACTGCTCCGGCTACTACCCAACCTCGATGTCACGCCACTTTCTGCAAGCAAACACTAAAATTGCCAGTAAACACACAAAAGCGACATCGATACAATTATCTTGTAGAATATCACCTTATTTAATCGTAACTGTTTCAATAGGCACTACAAGTTGTATTTATTTTAACAAGAAGAAGCAAAATTGTTTTCGTGAGAAAAAACAAAATATCAATGTTAAGTCTGGTAACGTTGTAATTTTGCCGAATCATTGCCACATCTTTAGAAAAGTTTGACAAAAGTTGCGCCGAATTTTCGATTAAGGGGGGGGGGGGGGAAGAGGGTCGGGTTTGCCCCCCCACTCAAAAACAAGTTGGTACGCCACTGGCTTCCAACATCTCTTGATAGCAATCACTCTCATCGCTGCTGCGATCAATGTCGAACACTTCGACAAGACGAGCGATGCCGTAGATGTAATCGCCACGGACCGCATGCTCGAAATGCGGAAGGTAAACGGGGAAGCTGAAGCTCGAGACGCCAAGAGAGCCAAGTCTGTAAGCACGTGCAAAGGGACGCCGCGTGGGAGGCTGGCTACGTCACCAGCCTCCCAAACCACGCCTTTTCGAATGGGGCAGGTCCGAGGGACCCGCATATAGATTTATCCACGAAACTATTGTGCCATTTTCAAAACAAATTTAGCAGGATTATAGGAACATACAATGGGTCCTAGCAATATATATAGTTATCTCATATTTTATCTTTGGTGTGTCATAACCCCTTTAAGCCCTTCGTCCCATCAGCCACAAGCTGATGGGACCGATTAAACGGCGTAGAAAGCGCACCATCGCGGTATTCGTTATGTTTCTATAAGTGTTCTATCATCGCTGGACCAATAATTTACAGGGAAGGCCTAGTGACTTGCACTTTTGAAACCGCTCGATTGGTCCCATTACCTCATAGTGTCGGCCACGTCTGGACGTAAGCAGAGAAAAAGCTTAAATATGGCGGGGCCTCTTCCACAGGTGGGGCCTGGGCCGCCACAAAGCGGCGTGTACGGGAGGGCCAGGTGGGTTAACATTTTTTTGTAATGAGCCGCCGCAGACCAGAGCTGCAGGCAGGGGTTAGGGTAACACACGCCTTGGTGATACACACCGCGACGTAGGAGGCTTTGCCATATTTAGTACAGGCCTGGAACATCAATACCAAACATTGCTCTGTGGCAGCCAACCATTCGCTAAGTGTCTTTAGATGAAAAGTCGGCGTTTGCTAAAACGTCGTTCGGCTTAGTGAGTGCCACCAGTGGTGCAGTGTTGCCAGATTGGGCTACACAGTCAAACCCATTTATAACGAACAGCAGGAAACACTATGATCAGTTCGATACAGTAAGTAGTTCGATACTGCAAAAACCATTTACAACGAACCTCCACGATGCGTTCGTTGTAAGGCGAGAGCTTCTCTTTCTTTCTCAGCTCTTCACTTCCGCCTTGTAACAATGCGCTAAAAAGTTTTTTTTTTTTTTTTTTTTTGATGCATGCAATGTTTTAACGCTTTGGGATGAAAAGATTTTTTTTTTTCTGAGCATGCGTGCAGAGTGTATGTTTTTGCTTTCTCCCCCCTTCTGAATCGCTTCTCTTCGCTCAATTTTGTTGCAACTTGAGCTTTTAGAATTTCTTTATTTCCTACTTCCTTTTGGGGGGAAGGGACAGGCTAGAAGATGGTTGTTTGATGACGTCATCAAACAACCGTTTGATGACGTCATTCTGGTCACCATGCCCCAATACGCCTGAAGCGTCCCGTTAATACAGTGGAAGGTATGTTGACATGCGCTCGTACAAGTGTTTCAAAAAGTTTGCCGAACGTGCAAGCGACGCCATTTCTGGGGCATTTCGGCGCTGTTGCAGAGCACATAACACGGTATCCATTTTTTATGTTCTAAAACCCTAAAAAATGGGGAAAAAAAAAGGGACGACACGTGTTTTATTTTGTCTGTAGTGACGCACCAGTGTTCTAGCCGTTGCTTCTGCGAACTAGTGATGCTAGTGGTGTGAATATTTCTATTTGACGTATAAAAATGTATTATGTCGTCTTGTGTTTAAAACAAACATTTGAAATGGTCAGTTTTTTTGGGTTTTTTTTTTTTTGCCATTTCTAGGCTATTTTTTTTTTTTTTTTTTTTATCGACATTTGGCTATTTTTGGGCTATACCTCGTAGAAATTTGGCGGGTCAGAGTACGAACACCTGGCAACCCTGCACACGAATGAAGTTCGATTTCGGTTTCGCCTAGCGCAGTTGCTCCAAACTCGTCGAACACAAAGTTGGGGCCGAAGTTCTCGGAGCACACCGATTAGACTATCATGACGACGACTTCACGGTTTTGTCGCCAGCGTCCAATCGGCGCGTTCGGCAACCTTTCGGCTCCAACTTTGACGAGTTTAGAGTAGAGTATGACGTCTTGAACAAAAGATGAACGGATATAGGTGCTGCTGTATATCAATTCCTTTGGTTTCCCCGCTTCCCACGCAACTTTTATTATAATGGACAATGAACACTGGCATGCAATGAGTCGTAATGGATGATGAATCATAAGTGCGTTGAAGCGGTCCTCTAAAGCGGCGAACGGCAGTGCCACATTCAGAATGACCTACGACACGCAAACAACGTGTGATCTCGGCAAGCGGCTTCAAGTGCACGTGCTAAAACACACTGAATTTACTCAAAAGTACATCTTGTCGCGAAAAAGGCACGCTTTAACCATCTCGGAACAAACATTTCCCGAACATAATTTATGTCTGACGAGCGGTAAAAGCACAAGTTCATCCTTGAAGCACAGCAGTACCCGATTCCCCCCCAAAAATGTTCGCGCGAAACAAAGGAACGCAGACGACAAGACCACAGGGTCCTTCGAGCAACTCATGCAGAATACCAATACGTTACCTTGATTCGGAAGGAGTTCGTGGTAGCGTCTCTGAAGGAGTTTGAATGCCCGCGTCACACGATGTAACTTGCGCGCACTGAGAGAATATATGACATATCTTTCGGCAGATGGTCATGGACGCCGGCACACAGAGTTGCTATCTCTCTTATGGCACGCGATCTAAATGCACCAAAACATGTGTCAAGCATACCAGGAGATCACAAGTTTCTGCCATAAACACTTTCCACTGAGCTTTTAAAATATATATATATATATATATATATATATATATATATATATATATATATATATATATATATATATATATATATATATATATATATATATATATATATATATATATATATATATATATATATATATATATATATATATATATATATATATATATGTATGACAACCAAGAATTTTTTTGTTGTAATTGATAACATAAATCTTTTTTTTTTTTTTTTAATCCGAATTCAAAACTGGAGCATGTGTTGATTTTTTTTTCTCACCCGCGCTTTTTGTTTTGTTATTTCCCCACAGTAAACAGTACCCCTACTAAAGTCCGGGGGAGGGGGGCAGGGCGGGCAGGGAGACCATAATCTACAGCGTAGAAAACGGGATATCAAAAGAGCGTAGAAAACGGGACATCAAAAGACGGGGGTGAAGGGGGGCAAGCGCGAGCGGCGGCGCTGGTCATTAGCTGCGTTTAGAGTTCCTGTATATGCTACCTACGGTAGCAGAGTTGCGCATTCAGCCTCGGCGCGTGGCCGTAGCGCCGGCTTTCCCGCACGAGCTGGTTGCTTTGCTCCTCACGTGACTAAATTTGGCGAATAGCGGCGACGCGCGCGCCGCCGCGCATGAAAAACAGGAGAGGAGGAAAAGGAGGCGGAAAGCAGGGAAACATACGCCGGGGCGAGAGAAACGTCGGCGGAGCGACCGTAAAGGTGGCTTTCTTGCACGCCAAGGGATGCTTTGCTCCTCACGTGATCGGATCTCGGCGAATAGCGGCGTGGCGGCGCGGGGAAAACAAATGCGCAACTCTGGCTCCCGTAGGGAGCCTATACAGGAACTCTAGCTGCGTTCGCCCCAGCGCAGAAGGGTGTAGCCCGAAACAACCCATTCCCGTAACGACTTTCCCGTTTGATCCCGTCTGTTTCGACCCATTCCCGATCCCCCGTACCATTTGAACTTGTTTCGTTTCAAGCCCTTCCCGAAACGCCCTTTTTATTTGAACCCGTAGTTGACACACCCTTTAGGTTTGAGCCCGTCCCGTTTGAGCCCGCCCCGCACATCTCAACCCCTTCGCGAAAAGTCTCCATCGTTCTAACCCTAGTTTGCGCACCCTTTCTGCTTAAAGGGACACTGACAGGGTATTTATGCTCGCCGAGGTTTTTAGTTGTACGTGACATATGAGAGCTCAACTACCCAGAACAGAATTTGCGCCTTGAAATTCGGTTTCTTTCCGCCCGAAAACCGCCGATCAAGAATTGGCCGGTTCGAGTCTCGCTCACTCTCTTTTTCGCGGTCACGGGCCGTTTTCTAAGGTATCGATGCGACCACCAAATTTAATCAAAGTCGTGGGTCACTGAAGGCACACACTCAATATTAAAAATAGAAAAAAATATGAAACCCATTTTTTGTGGCTTCTAAAAAGCTGTAAATACGTTGATTGAAAAAAAAAGTTCCACAGACAACCGGAAGCATTCTGTGCGTTCGTCGTTTCGCGTATCGTGGGACTCGCGGGGACGGCGATGGCAGCGGACGACGGGCGTGGGACCTCTATTTCAGAACTGTCGTTCGCGGTACCGGCGAATTCTGTCTACCGTTAAAAGAGAAATTTGGGACTGATCAAAAGAATTGGTATTCATCCCGTACGACACGCCCTGCCACCAAGCCGATTTGCACGAAGACGTCGCCGAGCCGTCGCTCCCTTCTCGTGGCTGAAGACAGCGCTTGCGCAAACGTCAAGCACGACGTGTCTACTTCGAGTTGAATATGCACGCGTACGATTTCTTTACTATGTGCGAATGTTCGCAAAGCGTGGTGCTTCCCGACTTCGACCCGGGAGTGCTTTTGCTAGAGAAAAATCGACAGCAAACTTTCCAACTTACAGTTTACCGGCTGAATTATTACTAAGAAAGAGATCCACCAGAAACGAGATGCCCCAGTAGCTCAGTGGGAAAGACGACCGCTTCACACGCGGTAAGACCGGGTTCGATCCCTCGTGAATTTTTTTTTTTTTGAAACATTTTCTGATGTTTAAGTATCTTTTTCTTTTTTTTACAATCATCACTAAAGAAACGGACAAAAAAAAATAACAAACAAATGTTGTGGATGATACTTCGCTGAATTTAACGGTATGGGATTTCCGTTTTGACACCTGCGAACTCAATGTAATCACTTTCCACAAAATGCAAGGAGCATATAAATCAGGTAGCGTCCACTTTCCGAGGTGCCCAAAAATGTTCTACAGGAATTGCAGCCAGCCATTGGTCCCGATCCCGTTGATCTTTCGGAAACTCTGTCGCAGGACATGCAGGACATGATGCAGGACATGTGAGCCAGCTCTTCACGCAACATCTTGGGTTTATTCTTTTCGGAGCCGATCATGGAAATTCACCACGGACACTCACTACTCATCTCGAACTCCTCAATGTACAAAACAACTCATCTTGAAGTACAGAACAACGAGCAGTTCCCGCACGCCGCATCGCACGCCGCATGTTGTGTCGTCTGCTACCGGAGAGGAGAAAAAAAAAAACCGCACGGTCGGGTGTAGCCACGTGACTTCCGCCAGTCACTCTCTTCTCTCCACTTCTCCGACCTCCGTCGGGTTTCGGTTTCGGTTTAGAGCAGTTGCGTCTTTTGGCTTTATTAAAGAAATACGCTACTCTGTTGCAAAATATTAATTGAGTAGTCCTCCGACACCATAATGAAGCGCCTGGCAAAAAATAAAAAAATTTTTTTGGGGGGTGTCAGTGTCCCAAGGGACACTGACAGGGTATTTATGCTCGCCGAGGTTTTTAGTTGTACGTGACATATGAGAGCTCAACTACCCAGAACAGAATTTGCGGCTCGAAATGCGGTTTCTTTCCGCCCGAAAACCGCCGATCAAGAACTGGCCGGTTCGAGTCTCGCTCACTCTCTTTTCCGCGGTCACGGGCCGTTTTCTAAGGTATCGATGCGACCACCAAATTTAATCAAAGTCATGGGTCGCTGAAAGCACACACTCAATATTAAAAGTAGAAAAAAATATAAAACCCATTTTTTGTGGCTTCTAAAAAGCTGCAAATACGTTGATTGAAAAAAAAGTTCCACAGACAACCGGAAGCATTCTGTGCGTGCGTCGTTTCGCGTATCGTGGGACTCGCAGAGACGGCGATGGCAGCGGACGACGGGCGTGGGACCTCTATTTCAGAACTGTCGTTCGCGGTACCGGCGAATTTTGTCTGCCTTTAAAAGAGAAATTTGGGACTGGGATTTGCACGAAGACGTCGCCGAGCCGTCGCTCCCTTCTTGTGGCTGAAGACATCGCTCGCGCAAACGTCAAGCGCGACGTGTCTACTTCGAGTGGAATATGCACGCGTAAGATTTCTTTACTAGGTGAGAATGTCGCCAATGCGTGGTGCATCCCGACTTCGACCCGGGAGTGCTTTTGCTAAAGGAAAATCGGCAGCAAACTTTCCAACTTACATTTTATCGGCTGAATTATTACTAAGAAAAAAGATACCCCACTTCCGTTATGCTCCAGTGGCTCAGTAGGAAAGACGTCCCCTTCGCAGCCGGTAGAGCCGGGTTCGATCCCCCGTGAAACTTTTTTTTTTTTTTACTAAATATTTTTTGATGTCTACATTTCTTTTTTTTTTTTTTACAATTATTACTGAAGAAACAAAAAAAAAAAAGAAACAAATGTTGTGGACGACACGTCGCTGAATTAGATGGTATGGGATATCCTTTTTGACACCTGCGGACTCAATGTAATCACTTTCCACAAAATACAAGGAGCATATAAATCAGGTAGCGTCCGCTTTCCGAGGTGCCTGTAAATGGTTTACAGGAATTGCAGCCAACCATTGGTCCCGATCCCGTTGATCTTTCGGAAACTCTGTCGCACAATGCCACTTCTGTTTCGGACGCGGGACATGTGAGCCAGCTCTTCACGCAACATCTTGGGTGTATTCTTTTCGGAGCCGATCAAAATTCACCACGGGCACTTACTACTCATCTCCAACTCCTCAATGTACAAAACAACTCATCTTGGAGCAGAGAACAACGAGCGGAACAAACATAACTGCAAAAGAATCCCACGGCGAGCAGTTCCCAAACGCCGCATGTCGTCTGCTACCGGGAAGGAGAGAAAAAAAAACAAAAAAACACACGGTCGGGTGTAGCCACGTGACTTCCGCCACTCACTCCCTTCTCTCCACTTCTCCGACCTCCGTCGGGTTTCGGTTTCGGTTTCGAGCAGTTGCGCCTTTTGACTTTATTAAAAATATACGCTACTCTGTTGCAAAATATTAATTGGGTAGTCCTCCGACACCATAATAAAGCGCCTGGCAAAAAATTAAAAAAAAAATTTTGGGGGTGTCAGTGTCCCTTTAAAGGGATACTTCAACGAAATTTGAAATATTCCCGTCGTGTTCAAAAATAGGTTGAATATGATCCACAATATCCGTAAACGACAATTACACGTTTGTATTTTGAGCCTGGTGGCTGTATTTGTCGTTATAAACGGCCCACTCTGGCAAGCGCTCAGAGAAGGCCCAGCGGAGACCACGTGACATCCAACGCAACCGTGACGTAGGTCGTCTCAAGACGAGCAAAGCTACGACGAGGCTGACGTCGAGAGGATGGCCTAGTCGTTCCAGCCACCGAAGCGGCTGCTTTTGTACAAATTTTGAGTAACGGGGTAATCTTCTGTAATCTTGTAGGGGGACAATAGCGACTTTTGCGACACACGAAAGGCATTCTCGGGAAGAGGGGAGTTCCTCCTGCCCCTCTTCTCCCTTCGTGGCCGGAGGCGAGACAACCTCCGTCACTAGCTGTCAAGGTTAACCTAGACGGGCATTACAAGCGAGGTGTTAGCGACATCCACCAGGTGCTCTTTGCTAATCGTTTAATTCGTTTTAAAATTCCTTTTCGTGACTTGGTATGGTCGATGTGATGCTGCTCTTTTGAA